ATTAAAGCAAGTGCCTCATCCTTGTGAAGAAAGACAGGTTTAAAAACTCATGTTTAAATAGCTGGATGAATTATAGCCAAAGCATGTCAATTAATTCTGGTTGTTCCACTCAGTTTATTCTAGAACAGTTATTCTGCATTAASTAAGCTAACAAAGAGGTTTCTCAAGAGATATTTCAACCCCTTTCCCTACAGTCTGCTGACATCTAGTGGCCGAAGTCTCCAGCACCAAAATACAAACTAATTTTTTATCAAAACTTCTTCCAGATAAAAACAACCTCTTCAACATCAGAAAGTGGTCCTTGTCCTCTATTTCCTTAAATGTCTTGCCAGGTTTTGAAAAGACAAAAGCATCTTTTCGAAGCTGGGAAAAAATCGTTCAACTTATTTCAAGTTGTGATTTAAAGCAGAAGTAAGTATTAGTGTTAAAAAGGTGAACTATAAAAGGCTGTATTCCCCTAGACTGTTCTATGAAKACAAAATYTGYATAAACAATATAAATTTRATAATAATAYACACATGTATCAGTAACTGCCAGAMAAGCAAGGTASGGATCYTAATCCTMTCTCTACCAAAGTTGCTGACRATATCCTCRKTTGATTRCAGTTACAAGAYAGGAAGCTAAATTCTGTTTTCATTTACAACTTCACTTCTATTTCCATGGTGTTGTTGTCACTTCCATGGACAAGAAAACAGAATACTGCCTGTTTTTTTCTGACAAATATGCAGGATTTCATTCCAAGTGAGGAGGTTCAGTTGTTCAAGTCAACAGTTTGAATCTCAAACAGAAAGTTCATCAGTTGGCACTTGCTAATACAGAATCACTGAGAAAAAGTTACATCAGAAGGGATGTCTGGCAGTCATTTAGACCAAATTCCTCCAGCTTCGGAATCAAATCACGTTACTCAGGTCATTAGCCAGGAAAGTTTTGAGTATCTCCTGGGATGAAGATTCAATGATTGCTGCAGGCATACATCTAAATGATACCATTTTGCACAATAAAAAAGATGCCACGTTCCRTGCTGCAGAATGGATCCACCTGAACAGAGTRCRGCATGACAACTCTTCTGAATYGTGCTGTTACACTCAATTCAAACCRATGACCTTTATCTWCAAAGCACCATTTAATTTGGAGTTTGATTGYTCAATCAGTTAGGAAAAGGTGAATGATCCCCATTTATGAGACACAGCTCTCAGAAAACTGCATATCACATTTGTAGACTACACAGCCCTGAGAGTTTTGTGGATGGCTATGACAATGCCCATAACTAACATTACCAAGGTTTCTCTTATATTAAAAAGCTATCCAGGGAAGAGATACGGACAGATGGCTGGATAGGTTATCATTTTCACTAAGGGCTTTTTGGTTGTCTTACCAAGGTTAAATTGAAACCATTTTATATTAGTAGTCTGTTTAAGTGTGTGTCATTGARCAGCCATTTGACTAAAGTGGAAATTCTACATCTGTAAAGAACACACTGACACACTCACATCACACACATCTAATCTCTATTTTAGTCAGTTAGTAACTTTCATTACCAACTAAATTTTGTTACAATCCAGCTACRGAAGACAAGTGTTTCACAGATACTGAAAAACCTATGGTACCTTGAACACAAGTTTATCTCCACCCAGCCCAGCTTCCAGGAGATGTGAAGCAGAAGTCCACCCACCAATGTTTGCCACCTGAAATAGAACAACACCAGGAAATAATACATGAGGCCTAGGAAATACTTGCAGATAACTTAGAATAAGTAATAAGTAATGCACACTGATTTCTTTCATGCTTTAAAATAATCTGCTTTCTTCTTCCTTAAGCTAATGGCTTTCAGAGAGATGTTTCATATTTCTTGGGTGAAAATCCTTGAATATCCAGTGCAGTTGAGACAGAGATATTGCATTACAATGTTAAATGATATTAACATCCATAACAGGTAGAGAAGTGGGTTTATTTATTACTCCCATTTACTGCAAGGCATTTAAGCAATTAAAAACCTTTCTCACATGTACAAAAATAAATATTCACTCGGTGCAGTATTAGTAAAGTTGTACACTGTCAGAGAAGAGTGAGCTCATTTTCCACATGAATATGGTAAATATTCAATGGTACTATCACAGCTCACTTCACCTTTTTTTTGGATGAAGAACATGTGAGAGCTTAAAAGCCAGGTTTCCCTGATGTTTGCTATGGGTTTGACCATGTTCTATGCAAGCTATTGATAAAATCCCATCAACTTTATTGTGAAGAATTTCCTTGTCTCAGGTTTTAAGGACAGAGCTTGGTGACTGTTTCAGATGCTTAGAACTATGCAGTATAGTCTTAGCTTATAGAGAGAAAAAAACAAGGAAAATGGACAATAACAGCACGAACTGAGAATTACATTCTTTTCCTCTTTGTTCCTCTGTCATAGGTCTAAATGAAAGTGCATCTGAGCCACTTAAAATTTCAAGGAAAGGCCACTTTTAAAAGCCAGAACTTACGGAAAAAAAAATAAGATGCTGAAATGCATTTCCAAATAATAGAAAAAGGAAATAACTATGGTAACACAGATTGCCACAAGGCARTTACCTGCCATTGAAAYATGCTTTTCTGTTGATTTGCTAGAYCTATTTGACACAAATTACTCAAAACCCTCTACCCATATGATAAAAGCCTTGTTGAAGAGACAGTCTYTGTGTGTGTRCAAAAACTGAAGAAAGCATTCACTRCATATTTAATTGAGCTGAATACACTCAACGTAAATGGAGATTCCCAAGGCAATTATTCCTAGAGTTGATTGCAGTCCTGGGATTGCAAGCCAGGCAAAAATGTAAACCATGCTAAGCAGAAGAAAAGGAAGTAAAGATATCCAGTGTCTGCAGGTTTTAACAGTATCTCAAAAGAACAAATGGGGGAAGTCTTGACTCTAAGAAGGCAGATTTTCACTAAATGTCTCATCAACAGCATTGATGCTACATATGGACATTTATCAAAACATTAAATTTCTCATTACAGTCATTAAGATTTGAAAGTGACTTGTGATGCAGATTTACAACCAAGGCTAAGCATGAAAAGAAGCAACATGGTATTTGTGAATGCCTAAAGATGGGTTTAAGGTTGGTTTTCTCTATCATAGCAAATAATACACCATAACTGCATGTTATCTGCAAGTGCCATTTCCAGAGAAGAGAGGTTGTACTTTGTAATTGCTACTTTTTTATGCTGAAGCATTAGACTTTAAGGAAAATGAGAAATTATGGACTCTATATGTCTTAATTACATCACCTTCATGGCATTTAAAAGTTAACCAAGACATATTAATKAATGCTTCATTAAGGCTTCATGAAGTCTATTCAGTAGACAGCAAAAGCCAGCAATGACAAGAGGTAGYAAAGTTAGCTTGAGCATGGAACAGCAAGACATTAAAGTCATTTTTCAAACAGCTGTATTCTTCAAACAATACTTACCCTTGAAAAAGGGTAGGGTAGGTAAATTGCAGGACAGACAGGACATACTGGAAAACAAATAGCAAATTAATGGACAACAAACACCTACAGTTTATAATATTAACAAACAATAACAAGCAACAAAACATACACAAAATGTTTTCATTTTTCTTTGTTTTAGTCAAAAAGACAAAAAAAAATGTTTAGTAATTTATCTTGCTGTGGTGTATTTCCTCCTCCTTCTCTCGAACCGATCACGCACTGTGATCTCTGAAATGTTTGATAGGCCCCAATCTTGATGAACAGTAACTGGGCTAAGTTCCACTTGAGCTTATCAGGAATACTGCCTGCTCCCAGGAACTTAAGGCTGTCCAGCAAGCTCCTGCTGTTTAACTAACAGCCTTGGAGACTTGTTTTTCTTCACTTGTTCCCTTTCATCCTTACCATTTCCTATTCTTACTTCCATTTTAGATTGAATGATTTTCAGATTGATTTCAGTCTGATTTTTCTGTGTCTGCTATAACCATCTAATAATGATGTAGTAGATGTAATGATGCAATAATGTAGTACTAATGGTAGTAGAGTGAACCTTGCCAACAAACTGTYGTGATTTCACTTTAATATTAAACCTGCTTTTGTCGAACCCTTTGCTGATGATTTTTTGAGTGACCGAAAACACTCATTTGTGACACTTCCCACACTAGAACTGCTGGATGTTGCCTCAGTCACTGTGGAAGGTAATAGACACTAAAGTACATGAGGCATGGAGTGGACACACTGAACAGTGGAGAAAGTTATCATCTGAATTACACTCTCACTTTCTGAACACACTTCATACATCACACTGAATGGAAAAGGATTAACAGGAACAGAAAGCCATAAGCACCAGTCAATTAAAATCGTATCATACCAATGAGGCAATCTTTGGCAGAAGCAGGAGCAATAATCTTAACACAATTTTCTCCTTATGACTAATGTATCTTACAGCCTTAACATTCTGCTCACATACTATTTTGTGCAAAATATTTAACAGCTCATAAAGCCCACTGGAGATGTAATAGATGGGGTAAAAAACAAAGTCTCTGTGTCATCGCTTCAGTGCGCTTTGTCTGGCCTGCACATATGGATGCTAGTGTCTCTTCACACTATATATGCATATATGCAAATAAGAAGCATAAATACATGTCTTCCAGATCTAACAACTTCCTGTAATGAAGTATATAAATACCATTTCTGTGAAGGAGAAGAGGATTGAAGCTTCCTCAGAGGAAATGAATGGTACCTGCTGTTCCTTCCAGGAGCCAAAAGAAGTTGCCAAAGGCAAAAGGAAAAGCTGAAAGCTTTCAGCAGAGAGGAAAGTGTGCTGAGCACCTTGCAAAGTCCAGTTTTCAGGTGTATGGGGTGTCACTGAGAAGCTGGCATCAATATACAGGGACACGACATGTTGATTCACAACATATCCATACACCTTTCAGAACTTCCATGTGCATTTTAAATCAGGACAATACACCTGCACACATCTGTGCCCCTGCTTGCATTTGCAACACTATCTGCAACAACTGAAACGTCTATATTCTGGTTATTTTTAACTTTATCACACTAAAACCTACATTCAGGTCTGAAAATGGAGCCCTATGTCGATGTCCCTTTGACTTCCTCTCAAGCACAGTTAAGTCAAGTACCTTTCCCAGTGCACAATGCAACCTGGCAGCTCTTTTAGCCCCTRTTTAACTAATCACTGTTCCTAGCAGTCTGTCAAATCAAGTGCATTCTCTCTCTCTACAAATTTTGCTTCTTGACTGAACTTCAGTCTAATTCCGGGCATCCTTAATGGCAAATGTATCTTGGAACAGAAACCACTGGCTAATGTCCAGAAAAGGTTTCATTTTCACCTCTGACATGCTGCTTTTCGCTAATCCTCCCTCAGAAAATTCATACCCCAAATGCTTCACCAACATTTTTTTCTTTCAGAAATCTGCATCAGAAATACAGGCACACTCTCTCATAATAGGATAGCACAAAGCAGTTACTCTACCTCCTTCTCCCATAGTGTAAAAACTACTTTCAAATCATGCTTAAATGATACCATTTTATTCACAATGTGGCCATGTTCAGCCTACTTCTTCTTCTTGGACATTAAAGCAACACTAATAAGAAATTGTTACACAGTGGAAAACAAAAGTCTTATCTGCAATTTGTGTGTTAATTAAGTTGTCAAAGGAACAAAGTTGCCATGGAAGTTAATATTTGTTTCGCTACTAAAATAACACTTTCAATATTTCACATTTTCCCCTTGGATAGTTGATACTATTGTTCCAGTTAACAGATCTTCTTTTGGGAATGGGCGCAGTTGCCAGACACCGACAATGACATGCATACAGCATCAGCGATACTTTCAGTGCAGCGTAACTTCTGGGTCTGTAACACTTCATTCATTGGAATGACATGATGTAAACCTCCTTGCTCTCCTAAACAAGACAATAGTGGAACTWATGTGTTGTGGAAAAGTAAAGATGTCACGCACTGAGCAAAAAGAAACCGGGWGCAAACAACCCTATCCGCAGTTTCGGGAGCACGCTGGGATGGGCGGCGGGCTGGAATGCCAGGGACGACTTTTTCACTCGTGGGGGAGTCCCGTCCGGGAAGGGCTGGTCCTCCGGCTCTCGGTGAGCAGGGCAGGGAAAGCATAAGGAACCATGTCTCCTCTTTCTGCTCTTTCTCCTGCTCCTGCTCCTGGCTGCCTGCACTTCCCTCGCCCCCCGCTCCCGCAGCTGCGGACCGGCTGCCCCCGCACCTCCCTGCGCCCCGCCCGGCCCCTCCGAGAGCGGGGCGGCTCCGCGGCCGCGCTCACCTTGTTGGTGAAGCTGGAGGCCAGGTAGAAGAGGCAGAAGGCGAGGCCGCCCGCCGGCCTCTTCAAATACATCTGTCAGCGCGGGCGCGGAGCGCGGCCGGCCGGGCGGCGGCCATCGGCCGTGGCAGGGACACGTCGCCTCAGCGGGCGCCGCCTCTGCGGGGCCGCTGCTGCCGCCCGGCGGCCGTGCCGGGCTCAGGGCGGCCGGAGCGGGCCGGGAGCGCTCGCAGCCCGGACACTGCCGCGGCCCGAACCGTGCCCAGCAGGGTAAGGGAGATCACTGTCCCCTCCACTGTGCCCTTGTGAGAGCCCACCTGMGTCCAGCTCCGAGGAACACTGCACAGGAAGCACGTGTTGAAGCAAGTCCAGAGGAAGGATGCAAAGATCATCAGAGGGCTGGAGCACTTCTCCTTTCAAGACCAAGGCTGAGAGACTTCGGAATGTTCAGCCTAGAGAAGAGAATGCTCTGGTGCGACCTTACACCAGCCTTTCATTACCTAAAGAGGACCTGCAAGAGAGCTTCAAAGGGACTTTTTGGGAATGTAGTGATAGGACAAGAGGGATGGCTTTAAACTGAAAGAGGGCGGATTTAGACTAGACGTACAGAATTTTTTTTGCAGTGAGGGTGGTCAGACACTGGAACAGGTGGTGAATATCCCATCCCTGGAGGTCTTTAAAGCCAGATTGGACGGGGCTCTGAGCAACCTGATCTACTTAAAGATGTTTAGCAGGATGCTCTGCCTTGGAATGTGGTCAAGCATCTCAGACAATGCCCTATTTACAAGGACTGATAGAGGGCATCAAGTTGGCTTTGGTGTTTAATTATGATGAAACCAGTCTGACACATCAACCCCAAATTAGCATCCTGACATTGAGGCAAAGATTTGGCAGATAAGCTGCTAAACTGACCAGGAGATCTATGACTGCCAGTCAATCATTTTACACTATAAAAGTCSAGTCCACTTTCATACAGTTATGTTCTTCTAACATATTCCTTCTTGGGGTGTGCATGAAGATTCCTTCTTTGGATGGGGACCCCTCAAAGTTAGTCCTTGAGGCTGAGTAAGCAACAGAGGTTTTGCCTGCAGTCATTGGTATGGGTGAATTACATCAATCTCTACTTTAATAAATACTTCTTTTTGCTAACTTTAATAGAATTTATTTAATATAGTTGGTTTGACACAGTGCACTGTACTATCTTATCTTCATAGTTTTAGCTTCTATAGTGTGTAGTAAAAAATTCTGATTACTGATCATTTATCTTTATGARTAATTCWTTTTTATATAAATATACYTGKTTTGCCATCATTTATCTTGCAGGACAAAATTGTACAAMGGTTCAATCACACCTCTGTAATTTCTTAAATGATGGACAGTCTGAGGCTAAGATTGGATCCAGCTGCACCTTGGCTCCTCTCCGAGAAAGAATTTAGAAAGAAAGAGGGTCCTTTCTGYGCCTCATGACTCAACAGGAGGKCTTCTCTTAWAAACTTTGTCTRRAGCTCCCAGTCCTACCCAYGACAAGAARTCCGTGCTTATTCCAGGGCGTTGGATTAGATGGCTAATTTTAAAGGCCACTTTCAACCAACCATTCTATGATCCTATGACCCTATGATTCATTGGTGACATGTAAACTATAAACAACCCAGGCAGGTGAGAAGCAGTGGAAGACACACCCTATCAAGTCRAGGTTACTGGGTGTCCTTTTATTATGGCCTAGGTAAGCCTTGCTCTTCCTAGTCCTGGTTTTAGCAAGGCACTACCTTTGCAGTTACCTTGACTTTGCTCAGGCAATGCTAAGTACAGGGCCCTCTCTGTATACATACACCTTCTCTTTAGAGTACAGAGCAAAGCAGGATAAATAAGGAACCTTATTTATGAGCGTGGCCTAAACTAGGGAGTGAGGGAAGCACTAAGTGGTCAAATCCAGCCCATAAAATGAGCATGTCTAACATTAGCCTCGTGCGATATTTAGCCTCAAAAGACAAAAGTCAACAGAGAACAACAGCTGAGCAGTTGACACTACATCAAGACAAATTCAAGTATTTTGGTGCATCAGATGTGACCCTATCTGTTTTGTAAGGCGGTAGCCCAACACAGATTTCTAGTGCTGAAAGGTTTGGTCTATCCAGGCTTACAGAGTTCACTGACCAGCTGCTGTAATGGATGTGTTAGAGATGGCAGGGTAGGTGATACAGCATTTCTACTTTGAAGAGTACTGTTTATGTAAGCATGTCAAATGTGTATTTTGCAAAGGCATGCTTTGCATTGTGCCAAAAATTCAGCCTGCAAAGCTGTAAAAAAGAGTGTCGCAGAGCAAGAGTAGTTTACAGATATCTACAAAGACTAATGTAAGCATACAGTAAGAATACTTTTGACTTTTTATTACAGTAGGGTATAATTTTAATGCAAAATATTACGATAATATCTCTGAGCTTTTTGCAGTATTATTTCTTAGTACAAGTAGGAGACTTGGGCAAAGACTTTATATTTTCTAACAGCCAAATACAGAGGCAGGTTTGAATTCTTGCAGGCCATTTACAGTRAGTGACTAAGAATGAAGATACAAATTTCTGCTAATGTTGTTTATTACAACTGACTTGGATTACATACTAAGCAATTGCTATGCAGCTTTGGAATTACTTTGATTAATACAAAGGGAAGTTTCTGCTCTATCTAGATTTTAAACTATTTTTGTTGAAAGGTATGAATGTGTCACAAATTATTTTATTTACACATAATTTTACAGAACATTTCTTCTTAACATAATTTAGTTCAAATTTATCCATTTATATAAGAAGTYATGGGATCAAGGCCTAATCAGGAAATGTTTAAGAGACTAAAATAGAAGACTTATTTTTGAAAACTAAAAACTTAATAACAATACATAGGAATATTAAGTCACTTTTCACGTCTTTCTGAATCAAAGCCTATCAAAACCTATCTTCTTAAGCAGTGCTTGTACAGCTGTACAAGAATAACRTTTTTTCCCAGGGCAGCAAGACATTGCTTTGATATTGTCATATATAAAACTGTTAAATTTAGACAAAGAAGATTGAAGGGGGCATGGCAGTAATCTTCACACATCAAAAAGCTGCYGCAAAGGGAAAGAAATAATCTCTTTTCACCAGGGCTAAATGCAGAGAGGGTAAGAGACATGGTGGTACTGCATCACCAGACAAAGCCACTGTCACCAGCACTTGGCAGTRCCACAGAAATGGTTGAACCTGACGATCTTAAASGTCTTTTACAACCAAAATGATCCTATGATCCTATAATGCCTCTGTGGCACAAGCCTGTGTCATGCCTGCATGTTGTGCTTTACAATCTGGGTCCCTACCCTACTTTGTGGGGCAATGAACGCTGGAACAGCGTGTCTTAGGAGACTGTAAAATGTTACGTCATTGCAGGTTGCTAAGGACAAATCARATGAACTTTGGCTGACAAAGTTGATTCTTGCATGGCTGAGAATTGATGTGAATGACCTTTGCTGGGCCTGTCTGGCAGAATGGGCTTTGCTAAATGTGTAACAGGGAACTTACCCTGAGCAGGATGGGGAATGCCACATGAGCCACCCAGCTTTCCTAGGCTGGTTTTCAGATTATCAACAGTGATTGTAACAGCACATTTGTCTAGGACTGCAGACAGACACCTTCAACAGATGRTGATGAGCCAGGCCAGAGGAGGTTTCTAGGCAGCATTTCTTTCCTTTTAGGAAACTTGCCCAAGCAGTTCTGACAGTGATCGTGTCATAGCAAAACACCATCCTGCTGCTGCTGTCTGGGCAATAGGGCGTTTTAGTCACAATACTGCTTTCCAGATAAACATTACATATAAAATTGAGATGTAACAGACAGCAGATCACATTAAAAGTATTTAAATTTGTATCTACAGTGACTTACAGGATTTGGATCAAATTAATTTGTTCGCTTGTGGTTTGGTTCATTTGTTGTATTTTTTCCTGGTTTTTTCCTATTTTTTTCCTGTTCCCTTCGTTACCTCCTGAGATAAACACAAATGCCACCTACTTCATTTCACAAACTCACAGAATCAATTAGTTTGGAAATTACCTCTGAGATCATCGAGCTCAATCCGTGACCAAACACCAAGTAAACTAGACAAAGGCACTGAGTGCCACGTCCAATCTTTCCTTAAACGCCTCACAAATGGTAACTCCCATCGCCTCTACACGGAATCCATTCAAACCTAATCACCCTTTCTGAGAAGAAATTCTTACCAATGCCCAGTCTAAACCTCCCCCAGCACAGCTTAAGGTCATGTCCTCTTGTGCTGTCACTTGTTGCCTGGGAGAAGAGGCCGATCCCCATYTGGTTACAGCCTCCKTTTCAGGGTGTTGTAGARAGCAATAAGGACCCCCTGAGCCTCCTTTTCTCCAGGMTAAACACCCKCAGCTCCCTCAGCCGCTCCTCATCAAYTTGAGCTCCTGATCCTTCACCACCTCCATTGCCTTTGCCTGGACTCTACTTCATCCATCTCTTTTATCGCTGGCTTACTGTTTGGTTTGTCGGTTTTTTCCCCTCCCACCGTTCCCTCGGTTAATTCCCGAGACAGAACCAAACGTCAGCTATTTAATTGCTCCCATTCGCGTTATCGCCAGCGCTGCGCTGGGCCCGGCGCTGTCCCTCAGCCCCGCGGGCAGCCCCGGCAGGACCCACACGGTGCCGGTGACATCACCGGAAAGGCGGGTCACCCGCGGCCAATGGGCCGCCTGACGGCCGCGGAGAACCGGGGAGGACCCGGAAGGTTTCGCATTCCGAGCGTCGCTGCCCCRCGGAGAGATCCCGCTCCTGCCGCCCGCCGCCTCTGTGTGCCCCATGGACTCGGTGGGAGTCGCCGCCGCCGCGCCCGACGCCGGGCCGGGCCCCGCCTGGCAGAGCAAGGTGAGCGCTGTGCCGGGGCTGCGGGGCTGCKGCCGCCGCGCTCCGGGCTCCGCCGAGGTGTTGGAGCAGGAGGACCGAGGCCGTGGAGAGGGCGCTGCGAGGTGGTGCCAACATCACCAGGGTCAGGGTCGCTTTGCAGAGCGACCCGAGCGTGGTGTGCTGCTACTGGCAGTTACCTCTTCAGTGGAGAGAGCTGTTGTGGCAGCCTGATAACCGAGTTGCTTCCCTTCGAGGGAATTGCAGCTGAGT